AATGGGCAAAGATTATAACGGCACATTGAAAGTTGTTCCGTTTTGTGGCCCTTTCTCCCTTCCCCCTAGTCCCTCCCTATTCAGTCTCTTCTTCCCCCCAAAAAAGGAAAAACTTGTTGTACATGCTCGCCACCGCCTGCCGTGATTTGTGTGGCTGATTTTTTGGGGTGCAATGAGGAAAGTTTTATCACTTTGATTTTTTTCCTTTTTTTCTTCTTAATAACTCTTGTGCAATTTGTTGTCCTAACACTGTGCTCTGACCATCGGGAAAATAGCGAAGGAGGCAGTGGCCGCGTGCCCATCGCGGGGCCCCGCTCCTGCGCAGGATGCGGCATCGTCTGCAACCCGATCCACGCAGACGGACCCCTCCGGCCGCGCCAGACCTGCTGGTGTCCAAAAGAGACCTTGAGGCCCGAGAGTCCCCCAGCGTGTATCGGGTCGCAAGATTTTTTCCTTGTCTTGAGTAAAGCCTGTCAGTTTTGGTGTGGGAAGAAGTTTAAGGTATTTCCAGAAACCAGTTTCTTAAGAAATTTGGGTGATACTGTTCCTAAAACCTCAGTGCTGCAGAGTGGTCCTGCATGGACAAACCACGCTGGGTGTATCACGGTTCAAAGCACTTTCTGACATAGCTGATGGTCACCGGTAGGAAAAAGATGGCAGAAGAAAGTCGGGGAGGCCCCATGCAGCCTCACCCACTGCGGGAATGAAAGTGCTGTGGGAATGAAAGTCAAACAGGGAAACGTAGCTCAGGACTGTCAGAAAACCTCCTTGCAGAGGAAACAGAGAGCTGGTATTCCAAAGAAGTGGAGGGACAACCCCCGGTGCGTAACTCTGCTCTTCTCCAGAGGGAGATGTTGACTCTTTAGCCCTATACAGGCAGTGAGAGGGGTTACATGCTAATACAAACAGCTTATGCATGGGTGCAAACCCTATGAGATAAACAGCTGAAGTCGGTGGAGGGGAGCTCCTCACTGCAGACAGCTAAAACACAGCTGACTGGGTATTATTTAATGCGATCTGCAATGAAATGGCTAATAATAAAACTCAAATTGTAAAATGTACGTGGGAATGGCTAACCTTTCCCTTAAAGGGAGGGAAATCTATGTAGCCTTGCAGTTATTTACTGCTCGTGCTGGGAGGACGGCTGCTCCACGGGTGCCAGTTAGCAGCTCCCCAC